AAAATGAAAACAAGGAACAATTGTAGATCAGTAATTTATTAAGAGTTTTTCTAAATAGAAAAAAAAAATACTTTCTCAAACTAACTGATAAGGACTCTTATAAAAGCTAAATTTCTTCCTTCTAGTAACCTACTCTCTACGTCCAAAGGAAAGTCTGGCATCGCATTCACCACTTTTGGAAAAGTTCTCTTCCAGCCCTTTTTGAGTCCTTTCATCACAGAAATTGGAATGAATGAGAAAAGATTTATTAGATAATCTTCTCTATTCTGTCAAATGCAGAATTGTTTCCTATTGTGCATTTTCTGATCTGGGGTGCTTTTTAGTGCATCAAATGAATAGTGTTCTTGCCACTTCCCTCAGAATATTGTTTCATAATCCTGTTGATCTCACTGAAAGGAAACTCTTGATTCCCATCCTGATGTTTTCTTCCCACTTTGTACTTTGTACATCAGTAACAATTTTCCCTTAGTAACCCCCTTAGCCTCCAAACACACCCGCATTTATTCGCAACCAGTTTGCCTCTGTAGGCATCTGGAACACCTTTTTTAGAACAGCTAGTAGACAAATAATTCTGCACATTTATCAAGATAAAGGATAGCAATGTGATAAGATAACGAGTCTTCATAGCTTTATATTTTGACCCTCATCATGAAAACGTAAAGAACAGATTAATGGCAGTTGTCCCACCTGACATCCATGTGCGCAGGCTCACTTGACTCTGCTGACATTTCCTACAAGCTTTTTTTTTATTTTATTTTTTTATTCATATATATTTTACATCATTGTTCATTTTTAAACAATGTGTGCTCCCCACCCACCACACTCAGATGTAGTCCCCATACAATTTCCTACAAGCTTTCCTATAGACCCTTTTATAAGACTTGCTTGCTGGCCCCTGGGTTAAGCACATTCTTCTTGCCACTCTGGACTCAGTATCCTTAAAACTTAACATTCCTTGGCAGAGAGTAAGATATGTAATGTAATGGGGCATATGTAATATAATGAAATAGATATATGTGGAATAAATATTGAGTAAAAGCAAAAACAGGCACAGGTTAAGTACAATAAAAGCTTGGTGTGGGGGACTAGTGAGCTCTACGTTCACGCTGTGTGTAGCCTTAACCTTAGCCAGTTGTGATGATGGAGCGCTTTTGACAAATCTTGGATGATATGTAGATTTGCTGCCACTGAATACAAATATAGAAGAGGAAATGGATGTTACTTTCATCTACTTTGTACTTTGTAGACTACCCCAAACTCACAGCCTACCAATTACTGTAATTTTCTTGTTAAATTGAACAACCATATTATAAAAAGACAAATTAACTTTATTTTTCTAAGAAACTCATGACTCATTAAAACACCCCCCTTTTTATTATAATGGAAAAAGAACACTGCATCTTGGAGCTATCTAAAAATCATCCTTTCTTCCAGTTCCTAAAACACATCCATATGAACTTTAAATTTTGTCTCTAGAAAAATGTATGACACCAGCATGCAGCCATCTTAATAACTTTGAGACTTTGTCAGCAAGTATCTGAGCTCCTAATGTTCTGCCCAAAGCAGGCTCTAGGGCGCTTAGTCATTCAGAACTATTTTGAGTGGTCACACGACGATCCACTTCACCAAATGTTTCAGACCCAAGTCACTAGCTGATATGCTTGGGAAAAAACCTTTGACTGTACTATAAATGATAGTTTCCATTTTGGAGATTCTGGAGGGTAACTTACACAATTTGGAAGCACTCCTGGAGCCTAGGTTCGGTACCACTTCCCACCAAGCACCCCTGGAAGAGCCCGAAGAGCACCTCCATCTCCTCTCTAGACAGAACACACAGTATTAAGCAAAGGCAGAGGCATGTGCCCTGGGGCTCTGCTGGGCCCAGGCCTACTGGACTGCATGGGACCTTTGCACAAAGGTGTGCCCAACTCAATCACTGGTGACCACACAGGAACACACACCTGTAGTCAGTGGAGCGCAGGCTGTCACGTTCCCACAGAAACTTTCCATGGAAAGGTGGTCATTCCTAGACTTTTTCTTGTCTTTTCTATTCTCATGTGGCCAACCCTAAAACATTAAAACAACAGTCACTGGTAAGCCACCCTTGTCTCCTGATACACAGTTGATTAAATAGCATTTCTTGGGGCCTGCTCAGCAGCCCCCTTTCTTTGCTTCCAATGTAGACAAGGGGGGGACAGGTGCCTGATAGCACTCTTGAGTGGTTCATTCCATTTTGTCCTTGTATTTCCTGCTGGCTCCCTGCTCTCTGCCATCCATTTCCCTCCCCACACCTGTTTTATGGTCCCAGGACACCCCTCAGTTTTGGCAACTAATGTGGGCTTGTTTGCTAAACTCTTCAGTAATGACATTTTGGCTTCAGTTATCATCCAGGCTGTAAACAGATGATCCTTTCTTAAAGATACTATTTCCTCTCAGCCCTGGGATTATACACACACACATTCATTCATATTCTCTCTCTCTCTCTCTCTCTCTCTCTCTCTCTCTCTCTCTCTCCCCCCCATTCTCCGTCCCTACCTCCCTCCCTCCCCCCCACCTCTCTCTCTCTCTCTTTCTTTCTCTCTTTCTCTCCCTCCATCCTAGCTAACATTTTTCCATCCTCTGGAGCCAGAAGGGATTACGTTAGCCAAAATTAGTCAGAAGGAAAAAGATAAATACCGGATGGTCACACTTGTATGTGAAATATAGAGAAACCCAATGAAAGGTCAAGAAAAAGTCAAAACTCTCCAGCTGACCCCAGAGCTAAGGCATACAGCAAAGGAAGGGACCGGAGGGGGCAACATAGAAGAGGGATGAACACAGGGAATATGATGGCTCACAGGTTATGTGGTGGCAGAACTATGGGGACTACAACGATGTGAGACAAAAAGATTTAAGTAACAAATGAAATTTTAAAAAAAAATTTCCCATCCTCTTTTCGCTATTGGGAGACCTTTAGAGTGTGTCAGCCTGTACTGTGCTCGGCAGTCTCACCCTCGCACGCATGGCAGCCCAAGGTCATGCTCCTGTGGCACTATATGTCCTCGGGCGTACCGCTAGCAGAACTGACAAGCTCCCTGACCTCATTCACCCAGAGATGAAGTGTTCACACCACTTCCTCTGCGCTAATTGAGTTTGTCTAATCAAAAAACACCATATGTTATTTCATCACGGAAGGAATGCTTGTTCCCTTCCCTGAAACACTCTTTACAAAGTGTGCTAATCTGCACTGTGTAGACCTTTGGCTGTGTTCTGTAGTCCCCGAGGTCTCTTGTGGGGAAGTGAAGTAGCATCTTCTCTAGTGAGCGCTTATGTCCACTGGCTTCAGACTTGCCTTAGACTGTTTCCCCACCCTTCTGATGCCTGTCTTCGGGCCCACTCCTACCATCAGCCTCAAACCTCAGGTGGTACCCTCTAGTCAGCCCCGGCCTTCCCTCTGACGTGTGATCGCAGCGCTGTGATTGCCTCAGTTCTTTACCTTGTCATCTTCACGGCTCACCCTGGCTTGATGACTCAGTCTTCAGCAGGTAAGCCTGACCTTTAGCGGAGATGCCAACTATTACCCGTGATGATCTCTCAGGAGAGCTTTCTTTCCTGGAAGTTTCTGATTATGCTGATTAACAAAATAGTAGTTCATAGGTTGAATTCAGGTTGTGGGTCTATTTTGATTGGCATGCACAGAGGAGTGATTCTTCTTTTATAAAGTTTGAATGCCTTCAGATGGGGTTTGTGTTCTTTAAAAAAATTGAGTCATTATTGCATTATGAGTTTCAGGTGTGGCGCATTATAAAGCCGCATCTGTATATACTCTATTCAGTTCACCACTAAAAGTATAATTCCATCTTTCACCATATAATTGACCCCCTTTACCCAGTTGGCCCCCTCCACCATCCATCTTCTCTCCTGGTAACCAGTAGTTTTAATCTAAAACTGTATTTTTATTTTATTTAGTTGTCTCATATTTTTTTTTTCTTTTTGTACCACATAGGCGTGAAATCATATGGTGTTCGTCTTTCTCTGACTTGTTTCATGAAGCGTAATACCCTCTATGTCCATCCATGTTGTTGCAAATGTCAGGATTTTATCTGTTTTTAGATTTTTTTTTTTTATAGTGAGGCGGCATTCCATTGTGTATATCTACCACTGAGTTCTCTGTCCCTCTCTACTTACCCTTTGCCCTGGCAGATTCTCCACCATCTGATGAAAAGTGCCCTTGACACTCTGCTCAACATACTAGCCCTTCTTTAAGAACTATCTCAGTGATAAATTTCCTTCTAACAAGACTCAGCTAACCTAATGATTCTACTGTACCATATAGGCAGACTTCTAATCATTAAACTGAACTTTATATTAAAGCATCCTTTATTTTGACTCCTAATATCAGGATTAAGAGGGTGTAAGTTAAATCTAATTCTGATTTTAAGTTAAAACAACTATCAAAAGAACTAAAAATAATCCAGCCTGATGATCCATGTGTTATTGGGCTTTTGTATCATTCTTCATTTTCAATTTCCAAAGAAAAGAATTACCCAACCTTTGCTTTAGCTGCCTTTGTCAGGATATATATTTACCCAACTTCGGCAATCTCAACAATTCTATCTCACCTTCCCAATCGGCCCCGTGTCCCCCCACACGCTCACAAATTGCCAACGTAGTGTTATAAACCAGTGTGTCAACTTTTCCAGAAAACCTGTCGTAGTTGAAAGAAAACATAGTTGAATATATTTTTTGTTAAAGAGTTTAATCAAAACATGGACAAAAACCTAAGCTGATATGCACCAAACTTGCCACTGTTGTAGTAAGGTACTTGGTTTCTAGGAGCCTACTTTTTAGTGTGACTTTCTAGTCTTCAGCAGATAGATCAATTACTTGTAAAAGTTCATCTTCTGTTATAAATGGAAGTGATGACCTCTTTTATCGAGTCTGAGAGACCTGGTGGCTTTTATTAAAATGCACACAATCTACATAAATACCTATGTAGTTTTTGTCTTTCTACTTTATAGGAAATCAATGTGTTAACAGTTGCATTGGTCAACCAAGACCGAGAGAACAATATTGAGAAAAGAAGCCAAGGCTTAAAATCAGAGAAAGAAGCTCTACTAATTGGTAAGGAAAGTTTTATTTTCTTCATCTGTTCTCTTATATAATTCTTAGGTAATTCATGTAAATAATATTTAATTTACCATCAACTGGGTAACGGTTTAAGCAGCTTTGCCTTCTGGTCAAAGGTAAGATTCACTCTGTGAAGTTTATATTACATATATTTCAAATTAGTGGCATACAAACTGGTGTGTGGGGTTGCGGGGGAAGCTCTTCTGTAGCATGTGTGTTAGTTGGTTGTCACACATGAAACTGAGTTCAAGGAGACAAATCAATTTGCATCCCACATGTTACAAGTCCAAATTTCAACATTTGGCCCAATCTCTTCCAACAAGAGGCCAGATCGGTCCAGTCCAAATGTTCCAAACCAATTCGAGTCCCTAGGCTTTAGAGAGGACATCCTGAGGTCTGCCCCAAGGTCAGACATGTACTTCTGTCAAGATGGGGGCATCCAGATTATCAGTGCCAAGCTAATGCATGATCATCTGATCCAGGAGTCCCAAAATAAATAAAACAAGCTAGTCACAAAATACACCTAGGTTGGCTTTTTCTTTGTCTAGACAAAGCTCCACATGTTCTCTTTTGCTAGTTTTCATCCTCAGATCCGGCAGTAGTACTTACTCTCACAAGAAAGAGTTTTGATGAGGATGTGTTGGTACTCTAACTAAGACCCCACCTTAGGAACCTGTAGATTTGAGCCTGTCTCCAGAACCCTCAAATTGGACAGGGAAGCCACCATCCTCACTTTCTGATGCACGGCATTGATTCAAGCTGCTCCTTGGCACTGACCCCAGTGTGAGGTTCCAAGTTTAGACTGACTCCTCCATGGCATAGTTAAGAGTGAGGAATGAGGCTGTTGTGCATGGGAGACAAATTTTTCTTCTGTAGTTTGTTATCTGGCAGAAGTAGCACTGGGTTGCATTTTCTAAATACCGTATGCATTCACCTCAGAATGACAGGTACACCAGGGCCTGTGGAAGCTGGCACAGGAGGAATTACACTCAAAAGATAGTCCAAACTTCATCCATCAAATATAGATTTTTCAACTACAGGGTTATTGAATATGACATCAACTTAGAGATACTCCAAGGAAAACCAATTACTTTTCCTCTCCCGATGATATACAGCTATAATAACATGCCGTGCGCCAGTTTCATAAGACATGCTGATGTGCTATCAGTTTCGGGAACCCAAAATGAACCCATATGTAGCTGGCAAGTGGATTTTTCTTCTATTGGAAAACGTGTCAAACTCTGACAACTGTTTCTCTTTTGCTCAGTGTGACAAAGTTGTGAATAACCCTATGATGCTTTCAGGGTATGAGCAAAGCACATAATGATCAGCTGTAAACTTTCCCTCTTTGTTTAAGTTGAAATAATACAGACCACTTGAAGGTTGAAAAAAATGGAAATGTGTCTCCATCTTCTTTATTTCCTACTCACGACAGGTTGTTTCTCCTTTTGTGTTCTAATTAGAGAACACAGTCCATTTACAATGTTTTCTAAGTGAAACACAAACTTTCTTGTAAGCTATCTCAAAATATATAAGAACAATATGCTCGCTTGGCATACTTTGGGTCAGGATATCCATTAAAAAGTAGGTATGTTGGCACAACCAACTCTGCATTTTCCAGGACATTTCCTTTTAATTTGGCCTTTTGAACTGGTCTGTGTTTGTTAGCTTTCGGAGTTTGGCATTGATCAAAAGAGAAATAGTGTTTTGAATTAACACATGAGAATGTTGAAATAGAGGGCAAGCTAGAGATTTAGGTGTTTGATATAAATGGACAAATTTAATTTTCCCTCATTTCTCTAATAACTGTCTGCCTAAATATTTTCTCATACTCAAAGTTTAATGACAGATATAATTTCTTGCTCAAACTCTCCCCCCAATGCCTGTAACCTACAATTTTTTTATATCTGTTATGTAATTTTTATATTTGTATATAAATATAAAAATGGTATTGCCATATAAATATGGTATTGCCACCATAGTACACCTACCACCAAATCACCCGTAGTCCACTGCCACAGACTATTGGGCTTCCTTCCCAATTTGTTCTTACCCCTCCTTTTTGGTGCTTCACTTCTGTAGTCAGCTTTCAAGGGTTAGTTTTTAAACTTCTGACTCTTAGTTTAGATACTTTATACTGTATATATTAGTGACACCAGGTGGTATTTATCTTTCTCCTTCTGACTTATCTCAGTTAACATTTTCCCTTCCAGCTCTGTCCATGTAGCCACAGATGGCATGAGGTTATCTTTTTTGATCACTGACTAGTATTCCATTGTGTGTATATACTTCATCATCTTGATCCATTGATCTGGGGTACTTAGGTTGTTTCCATAGTTCAGCTACAGTAAGTAGCACTGCAGTGAACATGGGAGTGCCGTTTTCCTTTCATTCACTGGTTATGAATTTTGGGGGTAGATGCCTATGAGTGGAATTAGTAGGTTGTGTGGCAGATCAAATTTTAATGTTTTGAGACACTTCCATACTACTTTACATATGGAGTGGACAAATTAGTATTCCTACCAGAAGTGTAGGAGGGTTCCCTTTTCTCCACACCTGGGCCAGCACTGTTCCTGCTCTTTGTGATATAGGCCATTGTCATCAGTGTGAGATGAGATCTCACTGTGGTCTTGATTTACATTTCTCTAATAATAAGTGACTGTGAACATTTTTACCTGGGCCCATTTGCAGTATCAATATCTCCTTTAAAGAGTGTCTATGTAGGTCTTCTGCCTGTTTTTTGATTGGGTGGTGGTGTTTTCGTAGAGTTTATGAGTTCTTTATATCTTTGCCATCAATCCTTTGTCAGTCAAAAGGAGAGTAAATATCCCTGAGAATGGTAAGGTAGATAAATATTTCCAAGATTAGCAATATCCTGCCAAAGGATGCAGGTATGTCCTGCCATTAAATGTTCATTTATACTTCATAGATACCACCTGAATGTTAGGACCAATAAGATCTCTCCCACAGCTTCTGGAATCTCTATAAGGACTGTGATGGGGGCAGAATATAGGTCCAAAATTGCTCTGGACCAGGCAAAAGAGAGAAGAGAGTTTGGAGACTGGGGAGGCTGTGGCTATTCTTTTCTTAAGAACTCTCATAAGTAGAATGATTCCAGGAGTCCTCCAGTCCTCTGATATATCAGGAAGAGTCAGGAATACTCTTTACAATTATCCTGTAACATTTGGAATGGTTAAGCCTATATAAAGGATACAGTGGGCCTAGTCTAAGTCAGTCTGGAAGGCCAGGAACACAGCAAAAATATCTCCCTTCTCATGGAAGTATTTATTAACAAAGTCTTCATCATATCTGAGCGTCTACAGTATATGCAGTATGCCTATGTATTCGGAAAACTCAACCTCATAAAAAATGTACCTGTGTTTAAATGTCACATAAAAATGCACAGTGATAAAAATCTTGATTTGCCTGGAAGAAAAGGATCATCAAGGAATAAGCTATTCAAATCAATTCCATCTATAGAAAACATAAAGTGATGATTAGAACTTCCAAACCAATGAGGAATCCTAGGTATTTGTGATTATTTATGACACTTATTTTTCTGGATTAAAGTGCGTATGCTTTCCAGACATTCTCATGCTCAGTTAAATGAAATTGGAATCTTTAAGGCATATTAGCTAAGTAAGTACCACAGAAGATCAGTGGGGTTTCATTGATAACCTTATTTGGAAATGTGCAGAATTTGATCTAGAGTCCCTTGGGAATTCAACAACCCTGACAAACTTTCTGCTTGACAATTAGTGGGGATCGAATGCTTTGTTCCAAACTAAACTAAAGGGAGATCCGTAGAAAGTACTTTATTAGTGTGATTAAGGCTTATTTATTTTGCAATCAATCCTGAAGAGAGGCGGACATATTACTGAACCTAAAAGAACTAAGATTTTGATGGTGTATTTCAGGGCAGCATTTCACATCTCACAACTCTGTAGTAACTGCACAGGAGGTCAACTTGGCATCGCCAGGTGTTTGTGCTGCAACCCCCAGTCATTTCACATGTGGCCTAGATGTTGGATTTGGCGTACTTTGAATTTGTGTGGGACAAAATGAATCAATACTTTTGATTTAGGACCACAGCTTTGGTGTTGTGTTTGACTGAAAATCACTGGCTGTTATGGAGAGTGAATCAAAAAGGTTGTATTGATGGGCTAATAGTTTTAAGGAGTTGTCGACAATATAACTCTGGGTCTGTATCACCCCATCTTCTCTCACTTTCTAATCATTTCTAACACAGTAGGTTTCCCTTCCCAGCAGTCCTGATTGGCACCCTGTTAGTGTTAGTCATTATTGTAAATCCCATACGGATGTAGTCAAAACTGTTGACAAGTCTAAAGTACCTTTTTCTTTAAAACTTCCCTGGACCTCTGAGGTCCCTTTTTCTTTAAAACTTCTCCGGACCCCTGACAACCATTCCCAAATTCTTAATGATCAGTTTCGTTACATATTGTTCCTGCCCCTTACAGATTAGGAAATGTAAATTATCGACAACCAAGATGCTGCTTCTGCCTAACTCTCCCTCCCACCTGACAATTCCCTCCATTTCCATCACTGTCAGTGTCTCACACACAAGCACATGTCCAATCTATCTCTGAATTAGAATGTTTCCCCTAATACATAGACATTAGGAAGCAGATGAATGGAATGGACAGGAAAACCTGAAGGTTGAGTGCTGTGTGTTAGGTGTGTTTTTAGTGAGTAGAGATGAGGCCATCTGTACTGTGCCTGACACAAATGACCTGGAGTGGATGTTGTTCTCTACAAGCAAGTGACCGTAAAGAATGAGTCATTGACCTAAGTCTTGTTCCCAAAGCACAAATGCCCATACCGATAAATTACCAAAATTTTATGAAGAGCCTACTATCCAACGTAAAAGTTGCTAGCCTCCCTTGTGGAAGAACCATCATCTGGGTAGCCTATTGAAAACCCAGACCCGGGGCCTCCCGGGTCAAGGGGTTAAGCACTGCACTATGAAGCAATCTATAGCCTCTGCAGCACGGGTTCCATCCCTGGCCAGCCAGGGAGCAACCCACATGGCGCAGCAGACCTCTCCTGACTCACCCGCTGCTCCCCTCAGCAGTGCATTTCAGTCTGCCTGTTCTGTTCCCCACTCTGTCTCTGGTGAATTCTCTCAACCCCCACACCTCTGGCCTGTGCCCCAGCTTTTGTATGCATGGATGGATAAATCTTTTAAAAATATAAAACACAGACCCTTTGGTCTGACACACACAGTGTGATTATTATGAAAGTAACATCCAAGGTGATCCTGAGGTAGGTATTTCTGGGACCATGTTTTCAGAACCACCTCTCTGCCATATGTGAAATCCTGTGTTACCAATGGTGGTGATAAGATGAGCTGCTTTTCTCATGAAGTTCTTACATTAGTAAGAAAGAAGGCAGTTAATTATAAGGGAGCATGGCCTTTACTGAAAATCAGAAATGGAAGGAGCCACCCTGTGACCTGGTTTGTTTTCCTCACTGTGCTTCACTATTTAAAAGCATGTCCTTTATTGTTCATGAGTGTATTCATCACTTACATTGTTTACCAAGAACAGGGACCTCACTTGTCTGATGTGGTGCTGCATCCCTAGAACCTCAGCCCTGATTGCTTCTAAGGAAAGATGTAAAGAGCGAAGGAAGCAGTGAAAAGCTAGCACTATTGGGCTAATTTAAAAGCGGTCCTTTGGGCCTCAGATCCACAACTGAGAATACATTAGGATGTTGATGGGAAAGGCTCAGTATGCCTTTGTGCGCCGCCTCTGTGTGCTGTCCTAAGGTGGAACTGGCCGTGTCGTCACAAGTTATACAGAGCTGGTCTGTACCTTTATCTCTAGATTTTTCAGGTCTGTGAGATGTGCAAAAAGGTCAAGAATACTCACAGGCCCCCTACTCTTTTTATTTTCATAAGTTATCTACTTAAAGTTGTATTTTGCACTGCTGGGAAATCCATTCTTAACTGCAGAGACCTTTGTTTCTCCATGGAAATGGCCAAAATGAATTGTTGAGTCCATCCCATTGGAAGCCCACCAGTTCGGCAATGGCTGCGTTCTCCACCCTAAGTGTCTAGTATGTCTTTCGCTGAAATCTGTAGGTCCAATGAAGAAAAGGAACGCTGCCTTCCCCTTTCACAACCCCCCAAGTCTGTGTGAGTCACTCTCTTAGAGCGTAGCTCCTCTCCCTGGGAAGCCCTCAGCTTCCTCCATAAGGGGTGTGGGGGGATAGCTCTCTACCATTTCTCGGAGGTCCTCTGCAGAAAGAAGTGGGCATAGGACCATTTGTCATCAGCCTGGGGCATCAGGGAAAGTCCCACTCTCCACCCAGAATGGAGGCGATTCCCCAAAAGAATTCTGCCTCTCTTTCCTACTTAGGAAAGGCAAATAGGTATTATTTTTAAAACATTTTTACTTTATTAATAAAGCATTCATTAGAACCTATTTTTTAAAACTTTTCAGGCTTTTTAAAATTAAGGTAATACTTATTAACAATATTTTAAGTTTCCGGTATACAGTTTCACACCTGGACAACTACATAAGCCACCCCATGTCCACCAACCAATCAATACCCTCTGCCTGCCCCACCCTCTAAGAATATTTCTTATTCATACGTTCTTTTCTAAAGGTGGGTGAGCATATTTATAATCATTATCTTGAACTCTTCATGATGTAGTTTGCATATCTGCAGTTCCTTATTCTTTGTGTGGAGTTTTGTCTTGTTTCATTTGGGATATGTTCTTCTATCTTCCAATTCTCTGTTTGCTTCTGTGTTGTTAGCAAATCTTCTCTTCTCCATGTCCTAGTCCTGAGGGTTTGGCCTGATGCTGGTGATATCTCCTGGAGTCCAGTCACTCCTGTCTTCCCAAATTATTGTCCCCTTTGTGAGCTGCACAGCCTGTCTGATGGGTCAGGACAGCAGAGTGGGTAGGGCTGTTGGCCTGGACGCACTGTGGTGTGTTGGTTTAGCCTTGGCCATCAGCCATGCCAACGCACGGTTGATCAGCATTACTACATTGACTGTACACAGGTGCATCGACACACGGGCCCTTTAAATGCTGCTGCTTAGTTTACTTTGGCTTCCCTCTGACTGTTAAGGCAGGGGCTCGGGAGCTCATCTCCGCTGTGCTGAAATAAAGGGTTGTGGTGCCTACTCAGGAGAAGTTCTGCACCTTAGAGATCTTTTCTCCATTGTACCTCGCAATGCACAGGGTCGGGTTTCTTCCTTTAGAAGCATTTCTCTGTCCCTCCTTTCCTTCTGGGCACTTTAAATAATTCCATTGCTAGTGCGACTCAAAATATACATGCTGATGTGCTCACCTCCACCTACATGACAGCAAATTGACAACAGATATGGGTGCACACAGAAGTAGGCCTGAAATTTGCATGAGTAGAGCAGCCACTACAAAGGGAAAAAAAGCAGCACCCAGAAGGAAAGGAGGGACAGAGAAATGCTTTTAAAGGAAGAAACCCTCCCCAAGTGTTGATGAAACCCTCGGGTTCTCTGTGCTCAATGTAAGGGTAAACTGGGACATACTCTTTATAAAGTGACCACTCTTCCCAGAGTGTCCCAGGCTTCACACAGGAGTCAGGGGTTCCCAGACCCTATCCCACATCTCCCCACGGACACCCTGCACTCCGTGGACCGACCTGGTGCAGAGAGGTGCTCCTCCAGTGCGCACTTCAGCTGCATTTCACGTGAGCGTGGGGTTTCCCTTGGACCTGTGGTGCTCAAGCATCCAACTTCACAGTAGTGAGTGAGAGCATAGCCTTGGATTGCTTTTCGAAGCCTGTTTAAAAGAGAACCAAAGATGCAGTCTGGACACAGTTTCTTAACAAATAGCAACATATAGCCTATGGAGCCTGTCACCTCATTTCATTCTTTTGATGTTGGATGTAGGAGCAGCAAGGGTTGGAAGGTGCTGCTGTGATGTCAGTCCCGACACCGACATCCGGGTTCTCAGATTGTCAGTACAGTTTTGACATTTGAATTTCTTGATGGAAGTCTTCTTGATTTATAATCAGATTCCAGACTAACTATTCACTCTTGGAGTTTTTCAATAATCTTTTTTTTAAAGATTTATTTATTTATGCATGCAAGAACTGGGGTACAGGCCAGAGGAATAAGGGGTGAGAGGATTCACCAGAGACAGAGTGGGGAGCAGAACAGGCAGACTGATCTAAACACACTGCTGAGGGGAGCAGTGAGCGAGTCAGGAGAGGTCTGCTGTGCCATGTGGGTAGCTCCCTGGCTGGGGATTGAACTCAAGCTGCAGTGGCTGAGGACAGCTTCATAGGCTGTGTCTCAACCCCTTGTGCCACCAGTGAGACCCTCAATGATCTTTTAAAGTACAGTAGCGAGTAGGAGAGAGTGAACCAGCTCCTTTCCACAAAAGCAGCAATCATAGGGAAATAGGGATTGTTTGGGAAGAACTCGTGCTTCCTGCAGTGGCACTGATGGGAAATATGGACGAAACACATCTCATAACTAGCAACTGAAACGATCAGGAAATTTGGGGGGAGCGTGATTTCTGACGGGTGCATGTGCCCTTTTCCTACCGCAGAGTCCCCTGAGGAAAGAAATCATTTTATTCTCCCAATAATTCCAATTTTATATGGGTAAATCAAGCATAAAATTGGTAGTTGAAATGCTACTAGAAGCCTTTGTTTAGAAATGCCTTTATTCATCTATATATTATTTCAGAGTGTAGCTTTTCTAGCTACGATTCAAGGAGGGTGGTGTGTCCTGTCTGCCATGTTGCTGTGACTCTCTAGAATGTGCTCTCCTCGATGGCGTGCTGGTAGAAAGTAATGACCGAGCCTGACGAAGCCATCATTGGGGTGAAATGATGTTGTGGAAGAGTCTTACTGTTTCTCCGTAACATACAGTGTTTGTCCTTTTAATCCAGGCATCATATCAACGTTTCTTCACGTCCATCCCTTTGGAGCGAACATAGAATACCTTTGGTCATACATGCAGCAGCTGGATTCCAAGGTAAGTTTCTGATCTCGTGATGCTGAAATTTCCCGTGATGGCTTCTGGCTGTGGGTGTGCCCCCCTCACCCTCCGTGCCCTCCCTGAGCTACACAAGGGAGACAATAGTGTGTGATGTTTACGGGCTGCTCCTGGACAAGGACCTCAGTGTGGGGCAGGCAGTTGTATTTACTTGCTTTTGTCTATGTAGAAAGAAAAGAACTTATTTAAAATCAGCCTTTCGGCTATGCCAAATTGCTTTAAAAGACATATGAGGGATTTAAAATGGCAGATTGGCCTGAAAATTCCCCAAACAAGGGAGAAATCAGGTCAGGGTGGCTGGCTAATGTGACATTATCCTCAGACCATACTCTCACAGGATGCGATGTGAAGGCCTCCACACAATAGAGAAAATCACCTCAAATAACAAAGATCTGATGTGACTGTTAAGAAAACTACATTAATGGGTGTTTTCCATCATTATTCTCTAAATGGAAAAAAATGACTGCTAAGTTAATCTCAGCTGGGATCCTCCAGGGTCATACCAACATCAGGACATCATTTTTCAGAGGCTCAGTTCTCCATCTGCCAATCAGCTGTTTTCCCAGCATGAGGCAGGTTTGTGTGTTAAAAGGAAGGGACAGAAAGAGCTCAATTTACGTATCAATATGAGAACAATGAGCCAGACCTCTGTCCAAATAATGAGATACATTAACTAGTACTGCCTGGGGAAACTCTGGAAGGGATTGGGCACAGGACAAAGAAGCTAGGTCTGTCAGTAAGGCATCTGTTAAGTGTTCTGCTGTGGAGGAGAATGGAAATGAGCAGCTCTTCCACAGGACACAGCAAAGTCATGGAATGGTAGGACCAGGCCCTCTGCTGCAGCTCGAGGGGCCTGAATGCACTTGTAGAATTTGAAACTGTCAGTGGCCAGTGTTGATTAGTGTACTGTGTTCTTTGATTCACATTACCTTACCAATTCATCATTCCATAACTGCTCGACCTTTCTATGGGTCTTGCACTTCCCCTTTGAGAGAAAGCATCTGGCACAGAAAGCATTTTTCCCAATCCCAGATTCATGTCGTTTTATCCTCTCCCAGTTGGTGATAGGATGGACCCAAAACAGGAAAGAGATGAGAAGATTCTTAAAGTTCAGAATCATGTCTTCTCTGTAGCCTCCACTGACATGGAGAGGGGCATAACAGAAAATTCTATTAACTGAGGTAAAATGAGAAGAAACATAAAACTTTATGATTTTTTTCTCCTTTCAATTAGGTCATTGTTTGTTTATTTCATCACAACCTTTGCCGGGAGGATTGAATGAAATGCTTCAGCCAATGTGCTTGGCATAGAATAAGCCCTTGGGAAGGTCTTGCTTTGGTTCCTTTTACCTTCCCTGGCATTCTTGACAGTACCAACCTTTCTGAGAAGTCTTTGTTGAAAAGCAGTTGTTCCAAAAAAAAAAAAAAAAAAGGCAGAAGTGGGCTTAGAATGTCAGGACTCTTGTTTCCTCTCCATATCAGTGGAGAGAGAGAGAGTGTGTGTAAACGAGACCCCCGGGATCATCAGTGATGAATGATTGGAAGCTCACTTCTCCTACCCTCAACAGAGTGAGTCAGCCATTAGTTCAGGTGAGACTGGTTTCCCTTCAGAACAGTCTCCAAGAAGAGAGAATTCATCCCTGGCCCCTAGGGATGGACTTGTTTTATGTGATGGACTTGTCTAGAAGGGATTCAGAAAGAAAATTCCATTTAATCTCCAACTGGCACCCTTATTTTAGAAGTTAATGAAGAAAGTATTTCCCTCACAGAAGAAATAGACAGGCCCTCTCCCAGTGCTCTTCTCATCTGAATGAAATGGTCAGTAGAGTGTCAGCTGTTTTCCTCATGCCTAAGGTAAAATATCAAAAACATGTTCTGACTAAAAACTCCAGGGTGCCGGATTGGACTACATACTCTTCTACTCCAGAGAGGTTCAGAGGACATTTTGACTTTATAAGCTACACAGCAACTTACAGCAATGCACTAGAATTCTGTATCCTCAGGGCTTTAAGTAGAAAACAAAGTAATGACTGGTTTGTCCTGTAAATAGCCACCACAGCCTTATCCCTGCCTCAGCTGCCAAAAGGTTCATAATCCAGGCATGGCCACTGGCTGATCCTGAGTTGTCTGGTGCAGGGGCCCACACACTGCCTCCAGTCATTTAGAAGGAACTGAGTGACATAAGGCCCCACAGAGTTTTTAGTATGGAGGCCAAATATTCTATGTGGGCTCCCCAACTTGGGCCAGGGGTGGGGGGCGGTACTGACTATAGTAGGATGACTCTGTAAAACTTGCATTTAGAACACAAGTCACGTTGATTTGGCCAGCATCATCAATAACACAATGTAAAGTAGCGTTTAGCATCTAGCTACCCTCTAACCAGATGAGTGCAAGAGCTTTAGAGGCTCGGGATTAAGCACAGCACTCTGAAGCTATCCACAGCCTCTGCAGCACAAGTTCAATCCGCAGCTGGCCAGGGAGCTACCCAAATGGTGCAGCAGACCTCTCCTGCTCCACTCAGCTGTGTATTTGTCCGTCTACCTGTTCTGCTCCCTCCCTCTGGTACAAATACCCCCCCACCTCAGGACTGTACCCACTTCTTGCATGCATAAATAAATCTTTAAAAAACGCGTCCCTCCGTCCCTCCGTCCCTCCGTCCCTCCGTCCCTCCGTCCCTCCGTCCCTCCGTCCCTCCGTCCCTCCGTCCCTCCGTCCCTCCGTCCCTCCGTCCCTCCGTCCCTCCGTCCCTCCGTCCTCCGTCCCTCCGTCCCTCCGTCCCTCCGTCCCTCCGTCCCTCCGTCCCTCCGTCCCTCCGTCCCTCCGTCCCTCCGTCCCTCCGTCCCTCCGTCCCTCCGTCCCTCCGTCCCTCCGTCCCTCCGTCCCTCCGTCCCTCCGTCCCTCCGTCCCTCCGTCCCTCCGTCCCTCCGTCCCTCCGTCCCTCCGTCCCTCCGTCCCTCCGTCCCTCCGTCCCTCCGTCCCTCCCTCCCTCCGTCCCTCCGTCCCTCCGTCCCTCCGTCCCTCCGTCCCTCCGTCCCTCCGTCCCTCCGTCCCTCCGTCCCTCCGTCCTCCGTCCCTCCGTCCCTCCGTCCCTCCGTCCTCCGTCCCTCCGTCCCTCCGTCCCTCCGTCCCTCCGTCCTCCGTCCCTCCGTCCCTCCGTCCCTCCGTCCCTCCGTCCCTCCGTCCCTCCGTCCCTCCGTCCCTCCGTCCCTCCGTCCCTCCGTCCCTCCGTCCCTCCGTCCCTCCGTCCCTCCGTCCCTCCGTCCTCCGTCCCTCCGTCCCTCCGTCCCTCCGTCCCTCCGTCCCTCCGTCCCTCCGTCCCTCCGTCCCTCCGTCCCTCCGTCCTCCGTCCCTCCGTCCCTCCGTCCCTCCGTCCCTCCGTCCCCGTCCCTCCGTCCCTCCGTCCCTCCGTCCCTCCGTCCCTCCGTCCCTCCGTCCCTCCGTCCCTCCGTCCCTCCGTCCCTCCGTCCCTCCGTCCCTCCGTCCCTCCGTCCCTCCGTCCCTCCGTCCCTCCGTCCCTCCGTCCCTCCGTCCCTCCGTCCCTCCGTCCCTCCGTCCCTCCGTCCCTCCGTCCCTCCGTCCCTCCGTCCCTCCGTCCCTCCGTCCCTCCGTCCCTCCGTCCCTCCGTCCCTCCGTCCCTCCGTCCCTCCGTCCCTCCGTCCCTCCGTCCCTCCGTCCCTCCGTCCCTCCGTCCCTCCGTCCCTCCGTCCTCCGTCCCTCCGTCCCTCCGTCCCTCCGTCCCTCCGTCCCTCCGTCCCTCCGTCCCTCCGTCCCTCCGTCCCTCCGTCCCTCCGTCCCTCCGTCCCTCCGTCCCTCCGTCCCTCCGTCCCTCCGTCCCTCCGTCCCTCCGTCCCTCCGTCCCTCCGTCCCTCCGTCCCTCCGTCCCTCCGTCCCTCCGTCCCTCCGTCCCTCCGTCCCTCCGTCCCTCCGTCCCTCCGTCCCTCCGTCCCTCCGTCCCTCCGTCCCTCCGTCCCTCCGTCCCTCCGTCCCTCCGTCCCTCCGTCCCTCCGTTCCGTCCCTCGTCCTCCGTCCCTCCGTCCCTCCGTCCCCGTCCCTCCGTCCCTCCGTCCCTCCGTCCCTCCGTCCCTCCGTCCCTCCGTCCCTCCGTCCCTCCGTCCTCCGTCCCTCCGTCCCTCCGTCCCTCCGTCCCTCCGTCCCTCCGTCCCTCCGTCCCTCCGTCCCTCCGTCCCTCCGTCCCTCCGTCCCTCCGTCCCTCCGTCCCTCCGTCCCTCCGTCCCTCCGTCCTCCTCCGTCCCTCCGTCCCTCCGTCCCTCCGTCCCTCCGTCCCTCCGTCCCTCCGTCCCTCCGTCCCTCCGTCCCTCCGTCCCTCCGTCCCTCCGTCCCTCCGTCCCTCCGTCCCTCCGTCCCTCCGTCCCTCCGTCCCTCCGTCCCTCGTCCCTCCGTCCCTCCGTCCCTCCGTCCCTCCGTCCTCCTCCGTCCCTCCGTCCCTCCGTCCCTCCGTCCCTCCTCCGTCCCTCCGTCCCTCCGTCCCTCCGTCCCTCCGTCCCTCCGTCCCTCCGTCCCTCCGTCCCTCCGTCCCTCCGTCCCTCCGTCCCTCCGTCCCTCCGTCCCTCCGTCCCTCCGTCCCTCCGTCCCTCCGTCCCTCCGTCCCTCCGTCCCTCCGTCCCTCCGTCCCTCCGTCCCTCCGTCCCTCCGTCCCTCCGTCCCTCCGTCCCTCCGTCCCTCCGTCCCGATGGCTGGTAGTCGTGTGCTGCAACACCAAGGTCCTAAGACAGGGACTTGGGGAATGGGAAGCCACTGAACAGCAAGATTGGCCTTTTTATTGACAGAAGGTGCGTCTACCTGAACACTGGTATTTGGGCTTTAGAAAGTGAGTGTTGCACGCCCATTTCCACCATGGTCCAATCTTGTGTTTTGCAAAGAGTGGGACACCCTGTTAACATTTCAGCCCCCCATCCCAGAGCAATCAGCATCGTGCTCTCTCACGTGAATGGAAACTTGTGCTACACCTATTTAGGTGAAAAACTTTCCAACTCTATACTTTGAAAACTTAAATATATGTAATCTAAGTCAGTTCTACCTGAAGGTAGCTGTCACAATCAGCCACGATGACTCTGAAGGCTCTCTTTAAAAGACTAGTTGGTTAACCTGGAATCTTCAGCACATTTTAAAGGAATTCACTAAGTTTTCAATTATTATAGGCCCAAGGAATGCACTAAGTTTTAATTATAGGCCCAAGAATAGCAAATACATGGTGTGAAATCTCCATGAACAGTTGATTTTACTTACTGGTCTTTTTGGTCTCACCATCCAATGAATCTTATCAAATCAAAAGCATAGGTTCCAAAACCATACTTATATAGTGATCCTACCAAGGAAAAATAGGTTTGATTCAGTGAACATATTTATGTACCCACCTCTGCGCTAAGCCAATAATCTTCACAACGTTCATCTTAAATGTTTCCCCTTAGCTAGGACAGACCATCTAGATAGGGATCATTTAGCATTTAATACAGGATTCCACCAGATATAGCAGAGCCCAATGCCAGTGTCTTCTCTGCCTTGTTACACGAGGTCTGCCCGTACAGACATGCATGAGGATGCAAACACAAAGAAAAAAAAAAAAAAAAAGTCAGGGTTTACACTGCAGGGTTGTAGTTGAATTGTTAATGAACAATGAACCATTGCTCAAATTTTTATGTAAAAAAAAATCTGTAAGAAAATCGTTGCGCAAACAACTCAGTGCGGATTTCGTGGAGGGTAGTGTGTATAGGGTTGTAAATGTAGGGTTTTGTTTCTCTTTCTACACCTTTTCAGTCCCTGCAAAAGTTAGCGGAAGAGAAGTCATTGCGACAAGAAATCCAACCACAGGCCCTGCCTTTGGCTTCAGTGCCGTAGATCAAGCCCTGCCCCCTGAGCGGAGGGCAAGGTGTCTTCCAGCCGGTGATGGCTTTGGAGCGCCCCCACATCCATCCCTACCTCCTCCTGTAGCGAGGGAGAGTCCAGGCTTGCTGTGGCTGCTGAGGTAGCCAAGCTATGAAGAGTTGACCTGGAACCATTACACTCTCCCGACCCACCCTTTAGACGCTTGCAGGAGGAGGAGGAAGAGGGTCAACTCAGCATGGAACGCATGCTGGTCTTCATCAGGATGTTACTTACAGCCACGCAGAAAACGACATGTTTTCTTTCTCACTGGGAAAGTTCATCTATACCCAACTCCCTGGCTCTTGAAGGTGACTTCTTTCTCTCCAAAAGTGACTTCTCTTCCTTTCTAACAGATATCTGCAAACGAAATTGAAATGCTTTTGATGAGGCTGCCACGCATGTTTAAACAGGAGTTCACAGGTGTGGGAGCAACGCTGGAGAAAAGGTGGAAGCTGTGTGCCTTTGAAGGGATTAAAACTACCTAACTGTAAGAGCAAAAAGTCTGTGGGAATGAAGCCGTCTGAACCCGACCAGGGCTGTGCAGCGTGAGAGCGGGAAGTCTGGGGGGGCCCCGTGCGGGGTTTTGTGGAGCCCTCAGAGCCTGACATTCGTTCCATCCGTGGCATTCTCTTGTGAGTGGAAATGTCATTGTGTGCCAGTTCCTTAAAACCCAGCTCATACTGTGACAGATCTGTTTCCTATGAAAACCAAGCAGTGATTCCACAGTGATTCATAACGATGGCAAAAATCTTAAAATATGCCACATTGGAGAACAGCTCACCAAGCAAAATATTTAAAGTTAATGATGGTGTAGCAATGCTTGTTGCTAGGCTACAGAGTTGTGTATGTAATGTATAGCTGAAATCATTCAATGACATTTTCCTCAGTCTTTCTGTTTTAATAAAAAAAAAAGTAATTTTACAGTGAGGAAAAAAAATCATACCAAAAGAAAACTTGAATATGTGTCAGAACATTTATTGTATTTTGTAAATTAAGTTATATGCTGTTCCAGGGACTTTGCCTTATTGAAGAGGCAGAAAATGTGATTGGACTCCTTGAGAATGCTTTATCGAGAATATTATTTTTCTAATGTAACAATTCTCCATCATAAGTTCTTTTAACATGGACTGCATAACAATTTTCATAAAATGTAAATAAAGGAAAAATTAGTGCTACTGTCTTGTACTTGGTATGTAATATTCAGGTTTATGCATCAAAATAAACAGTAAATATTCCTGTTACAAATTTTATAGCAAAGATATTAATTTTTTTCAATAAATATGACTTCTACCATATTGGTTTTTCAAATTCTTTGAGATATTTGAGTTCAGTTTTATTTAGTGCCCATCATTTCTAAAAAGACGAAGTGTATGAGTGACATTAAGAGAACACAAACATAAATAACTGTAAAGTGGATAGTACTAAGAAAAAGATTATAGAGCATTAGAGTAGACTATGGCTAAACATACCAAGATACAGCATCCAAATATAACAAACATAAATTTTACCTTTGTTTTGAGACTTGATGGTTAGGTGCCAAATAGCCGTTTAGTTCTTACTATTTCTTGGGTAACATACAAGCTAGAACAGGAATTTAAGAATTAGCAGTCAAATTAACAATTTAGGCAGATTTTGGTATTCCTTTCTGGGATGCCCTTTTTCCTTCCACTTAGAAATAGGATACAGCTTGAGATTGTATCTCCAGCTTCCTCAAAGAAGAATCACATAAACATAGCTATTCAAATTGTTACTTTTAAATGAAACAGTTTTTCAAAAGATAGCTCAGCAGTGAGTGTTCTTTGAAGTTCTGACAAGATGTTCCCAATTTCCCACTGGACATCACTGTTCTATCTTTTCACTGAGCCCTGATACATTAAGGTATTTATTCATAATTCCCATAAATACCCACTTATGTCAGGCGCAGTGTGAATGCTGCTAATGTGGAGATGAGTAATACCCTCTTTAATAAACTCAGACTTCAGTGGGGAAAAACATTTTCCCAAACCTTCTCCACATGAGTTGACAGGGATGATATGACAAGGGGTGTTGGGGATTCAACTAAATATCAGTAGCATTTCATTACCATCTGTCAGTGCCCACGACTACCATCGTCCTGACATGTTTAGATCAGGAGACCCTATGGACACATGTAATTGGAGAGATGACCTCATTTACTGATATTGTCATTGGAAAATAACATTAAGAGATTCACTTAAAAAACAATGAGAGCAAAATTCTGTGAGATACCTAGTTAAAAAAAACAGTCTAGCAGGACACAAAAGGCACCATACCTAGATTCTTTTTATTTTTTACATCATGTTCATTTCTCAACAATATTTGCAGGGGAAGATGAGGGAGAAGGATCAGAGAGAGGGAGGAGCACAGGGGACTGTGGTGATGGTGCACGGGTGCATCGGTGAAGGAAATTCTATGGGAACTAACCCTGGGGGGAGCAAATATTGTTTTAAAATGAACAATGATTCTTTATTAATTGAAAGCATGAGCAGTATTTTTAAATGTGCATTTGTACATTCAAATGTTGCCAGTAGGCACCGCAGCTGCACTGCACGGAGTAAACTAGCATCGAGCTCTGATGAGGAAAAGGGGATGGAGGGATCTCACATTCAATCAGATGACAAGACACTATATTCTAAAACTGTTCTAGAGTTCTAAATAGCAACTCAGGTCTGAAATGATTAATGCAGCTTCCAAAATTTTGGATTACATGTGTCATCTGAGCTAAATTTCTATGTTAGACTCCTATGCAAAGCCACACAGGAAAATGTATTTTGCTAGTAATATTTTAATTTATACTTGAAACTAATCATATTGTCGACAAATGTATTGATTCTATCTAACTGCAATTACTTAAGTTTTACATCCTAACATCTAGCTACCCAGTAACAAATCTTGGGTTCCGAGAATCAGCAAAATACTAAAGGTTTGGAGACACTCATAACCGGGCCCCGACAAGGTTTTCTGACTTGCTTTTTTCATTATTTACCCGAATAACAACATTTTCCTTTTTCTGCTTTTGCTCATATTCCATCCAAATACAATGACCTCTCTCATTCAGTTGTCACCAGATGTGTCACTACTTCACCGCCTTAAGAGACAACAATGAAATGCCCCCACAACCTCCTCACCCAGGAAGCTTTGCTCCATCCCTCAGAATGAAGACAGAATTTACTTCTGCCTCTGTGTGGCCAGGCCCCATGGTACTTGCTTCCCAGCAGACTTTGCCTCTTCATTTCCCTCTTAGATGACAAGCTCTTTGAGGGATCAAAGCATGTCTTTCATACTTTGAGTTATGTCCCAAAGCGGTTTTGCTGGTAATTTCTTACAACATAGGACAGAAAGTGAACAGAGATATTTCTGAAAATATCATTGATCCAAGATTCCAGGGAAGAAAATGTGGTGATAATGTACTGTGTATTACTGAAATGCCAAGAGTCATCCAGTTCTAACTTTAAGCCCATGTCAATTATCTGCTCTTCTAGCAAGCTCAGCTCCCTCAACTACTTCCTCCCATGTACCCACTATTGGTCATTCCCTTTTACTGTAGACCTAACACTGTATTTTTATCATTTGTGTATGTGGCTGTCTCTCTCCTAGTTCTCTGGGCAGATCATCCTTCCAGTCCCTCACTGTGTAACGTGACATACCATGACTTTTAAAGATTCACCACTGTCAATGAATGAACTAAATGAATGAAATTAGACTGTACCAGGAACTTTCTGAATTTTTTCCATCAGAACATTGAGTTACTAGATTTAATAATACAGGCTAGAGCTTTCTAACCCTCAGTTACAAGATCTCGGCAAATTTCTTTTCTTACCTTCAAGGGAAAAAAAAAAAATCCACCAGCAGGCATAGAGAAGCCAACAGACCAAAGCAGACTGAAAACACTGGTTTCTTCAAAAATAGTGAGATGAGTGGGTAAGATCAGGTAGTGGCTACCTAATCATCTCAAGCAAAGTAGGTAAGCCCCTCCCCTAGTATCATCCAATACCTGTCCTTGAGATAAAGGACATTATATTTCTAAAATAGGTATAAAAAAAAAAACATCAGCCCCACAAATAATTATGTTGAGGTGCAAGATGGACATGAGCAAAGTAATTGTAATTCTAAAACCTGCAAAGGCCTTCATTGCTCCTACACAGACAAATGGGCAGTCTCTGTCACATGGACCCTCAGCACAGAGAAAATGTAGAGTTGCTGGGAATGCTTTGCTGTAGATCCCTTTTCACGTAAGGGGAAAATTTCCAACGAGCTGTAATTAGGGTCAAATACATTCAACTGTGAAGGAACTCTATGACTCTGGGTAACTGTCATTTTGAATGATGGTCAACTATGTATACAATATGCAAGATTTAAGTAAAGTATTAATTAGTTGCTTTAAACCCAGCTGAGACATTGTCAGGAAAAATTATAGTTGTAGCTGCAATAATACAACAGTATTATTTTAGAGAACATACATATCTATTATAGTTGCTGAGAGTATCAAAGTAAAGAACTCCAGTAAATCTAGTAATTACAGACTGGTTGTGTTAATAAAATTAGCTGTTCTCCAAAATTTTAACTCTGTTTGCCTATGCTCCAAATTGAACAGATGCCCAAGGAATATAGTTCAAACATTTGCACTGCACATTCCATCTCTTACGTACATTTTTCAGTAGAGGGCTGTGTAATGGAATGTTCTTACTTCATGGCAAAAACAGACTCATAAAAATAAATTGCAGACAGTTTACAAAGAAAATCTTACTTTTCTATACAAAGCAAAAAGTGGTTAATGTACAACAGAAAGAACACGGTATATAATGAAATGCATTTTTTGTCTACCAAATATATTTATTGTGTGTTGAAAATTGTAATATCTTCCCCTGCACAAAGAAATTTCTATTATAAAACTCATCTACTATTGTGGGGAGTGACACCCTTTTTCTTGTTTGCTAAAGTAGTCTGTCTTAATATCAGCCCACAACACTGTCAGGTTCACTTAGCAAGAGTTATGCGTAGATAAGAATAGGAATGAATCAGACACCAGAATATTCTATTTCATCTGCTTCTCATATCTGAAGAAGTGCTTTGTAATCCACTACATCTGGTAAAAATTTTTGGAAAGCATTCTTGTTTTCAGAAGAAAAAGCTCAAAATTGGTCAATTTCAGATTTAATCAATAAATTAATTTTTCATCTTTGAACATGTTTGTGCTTAAGTGAGGATGCATTTCCTTAGTTTTTTTTGTTTTTTTTTGTTTTTTTTTTTGATAAAATGTGAAGCATGGGCTGAGAACTCAGGCACTGTCTCCAGGAGGAGATAATGTATTAAAAATATTTTGGTTCGGGCCTCCCCGGTGGCGCAGCGGTTGAGCGCTGGGTTGCGAGGCTGCCCGCTGCCTCTGCGGCGCCGGTTCAATCCCCGGCTGCTCCCCGGCCACCGGAGGAGGGTCCCACATGGCGCGCAGACCTCTCCTGCCGCCCGCTGCTCCCCTCAGCAGTGTACTTCAGTCCTTCTGCCTGCTCTGCTCCCCGCTCTGGCTCTGGTGAATTCTCTCACCCTCCCGCACTTCTGACTGTACCCAGTGCATGTACAAACAAAAAAAACAAACGAACAAACAAATAAATAAATAAAACATGCCTCTATAGAAGAAAAAAAAAAAAAATATTTTGGTTCATTTATTGAA